TTAGATCAGTGCTGGTAGCTATTAATTATCCAGTCATTTAAACTTGTTTGACAAACTATCCTGTATTAATGTTAATTCTTTTTTAGTTTTAAGTTTTTCTGGACTACCTTACTTATAATAATTTATAAAGAACTACACATTTTTAATCTGTCTGGAAGAGTATTTTCATATTTAAGTGGTTTCTTTTACTACAGTGAAAGTGTACAAATTCATTTATTTTCTTAGTTTTTTTTTTTTTTTCATTTGGCTTTTATGGCATAATTGCCGACTGATTAGTGCACTTTGGTCATTGTAAGCTAACAAATTTGTGAACGAGGTTGGTTGAAAATTTTTTTTGAAAGATGTGGAACAGGGTGTCCAGTTATCAGTTTCATTTTGATGCCATACTGTGATATAAAATGTCTCACCTATGTTCTCTTCCATTTCACTAGGTAGTGCTTTACTCCAGTGGCAAACATGATCTTAAAATCCAAATAAACTGATTTCTTTCATCTCACAATGAAGATGAATCCTGTATCTTGCTGCTTAATAACTGACATTGTTTGTTTGTGTGTATTTCTTTGAATAGCTATTGGTTTTCATTTCCTACGTCCAGTCACTTGTGTTTTTGTGCTTTTTTTTTTTTTTCAACTTTTGGGGATGTTAAATTGGAAAGTAATTTATGCTGATATTCGGTAATCCTTATTCACTCATTTTCAGTATTGATCAGTGTTGATGGAAGAAGTCTTGGGGGCTGCACCCATTTCCATCAAAACTTAGTTCAGGTGTAGTCTCATCCCTCAGGTTCTAGTATTTGGCACACAGTAAAGCAACACCAATTTGACCAGACTCAAATGTAGGGGGTGACACAGGCATATAACACATCCAAAGTTACATAGGAAACCTCTTCCTTTAAATACATTTGGATTCGTTTATTTTTTGTTAAATGCCTTGCATCCATAAATGGTAACTGTTGTTGCAAACCATCTGGAATTTTAATGCATACTGCTAAATCCCCTTTGCAGGTGGTTTCACTGAGATGCAAGAGAAATTTGCTTAAAGTAAAATAGGTGTTGGTGCATCTTCATCCAAAAACAATGGATGCATATCTGCAAACTAGTATTCCATGCTTTGCTGGCTATTTGTTTTTCCTGTCTGTTTACTTATATACTCTCCACTGCTCAAGAAACATCCTGACCAGATGTTACTTTCCTGTTTTTAAATGAGGGCACACAATCAGGTTCTGTCTTTCATAATTCCAGCGGCTGTGGAGTTCACAAACCTGTTGTGCTCCTGATTATTGATCAGTCACCCTCGTTCTTTAATGTGGTCCTGTGGACTTCATTGCTTTCTAGGGACAGGAGTATGATCAGGCACATCAGAACAGCAGTTGTTCAGCACAGGTGTAAAGTGATATCCTAACCAAGTGCAGGATGGGGGCACAACTGTGACAGTCTCCAGCGTTGCAGTAAGGCACACATTCATCTATAAGGCTTGACTCTTCATTTATCACTGATGTGAGGCTCCATCATCAAGGCAAAGGCACGACAGCTAAAGTATAGGACTACTATCTATAAGACCTCTGAGAGCTAGCACAGTCTACTGGTACTATGAGGAATAAGGATTTGACTGTATAACTGGTTACCTGGTAAACATCACCCTTACTGAGCTATGCTTACTAGGTGCCAGCAGGCGTAGCTTCCCACCTGCGGCAAGCGGAGGGCTGCTCCAGCCCCACTGGGGTTGGGAGCTGGCCACTCAGTGTATGGGGTGGGAGTGGGGGCTGTCTGCTATAATGGGGTGCAAGCGGTAGCCCCCTGAATCCCAAATTGGCAGAATAGACACCATCCCTGGCTATGCCCTCATGCCACAGGCCGTGCAAGCGGTAGCCCCCTGAATCCCAAATTGACATCATCCCTGGCTATGCCCTTATGCCACAGGGCCAGAGAACCTAAACAAAGTGGGAAGATGGCAAATGTCTTACCAGCTCCAAGCTCACTGAAGACCGGGAAATGCCTAAAGGAATGGAATTTCAAAATTGGTGAAAAAAGCACCATTTTATCCTGGAGACTACACTTTGGACAACAATTTATTCGTTGTCCTTTTTCCCCAGAGCACTCACCGGAAAGAGAGAGAGTGGGGACTAGGTCAGAGAAATGAGAGCACATTAGACACAGAATAAATTACTTTTACTGCTCGCAGCATTCAATTTGTTGTAGTTCCTTTGTGTTGCAATACTGAAAATGTGTTTACATTAATGAATCCGAATTTTGCATCATTCATTCAAATATGCAGCACACAGTCACAATATCTGTGCATGCACAATAAGTGTCTAAAATCCTATCTACATTTCAAGCATTATATCTTGAAAACAAGAAGAAATGTGATTATGTACACATGAAGTATGATTAAATCCTTGCACCAGTGCACATACACAAGACACATTCAGTATTGTTCATCAAAGCATTATGCAAAAGGACATGTATTCTTTATAAAGGGCACATAAACTTGCAGTATGAATACACTGTATCTCTTGCTCTGTGTCAGAGTAGTTGCATCTTTTTGTAGAGGCATTCAGTGTGGTTGTTCTAAACATTTGCCAAGTTTGGCCACCTCTTGCTTACATCCATTTACAAGCTATCTCCCTTTTTATCACAAACATTGTCCAAAACACAGCAAGCAGCTATTGTAACAAGATGATGTTTCTTAGCGTCCAGGCTTGACATCAAGTTCCTGTATCCATCTTTCAGTTTTCCAAATGCACATTACACTTGTCATTCAGCTGTTTCTCAGGGTATAATTAAACTGTTCCTTTCTCTTATGCAAGTACCAGTAAATGGCTTCTTAAGCCAGGCAAGCAAAGGGTAAGCTCCGTCTACCAGAATGAGCGGTAGAATGGTATTGCCTCCAAAGTCCATTGATACAATTGATGCAGAATTTCCACTGGTCATAGAAGAAAGCATTCTAGATCAGGAGTTCTCAAACTTCACTGTACCATGACCCCCTTCTGCCATTCCTGACTTCTCTGAAGTGAGGAGAGGGATCCAAAGCTGAAGTCCCAAGTAGAGGGCTTGTTATCACTTCTCTGAAGTGAGGAGAGGGATCCAAAGCTGAAGTCACAAGTAGAGGGCCTGTTATGAGTCCTGATATATTTTGGCCTCGGGTCCCAGCTATTCCAACACCAGCCTTGGTAACTCCATTGAAATGGGATTGTGACCCAGTTTGGGATTCCTAAACTGGGATTCCTAAACATTTTTAGAGACATTCTAAACTTTCCGAAGATTCTGGTGTCCTGGAGCTTTCTAGACCACCTTACATAAATCCTGGTGAACTTTCCACGGTGATCAAACAGGCCTTGCAACATCATAGGAGGGGATTTTCTGTTCATGGACTCTAAGTCCTAATGTGAAGGGTTAAGAGTAGATATGTAGGACTCGTTGTGGCTTTAGTCAGGAACCCATGATGCAAACTAATTAATTGCCTGTGCATTTCCCACTTTAAGATTCAGTGGGTTAGAACTTTATTGATAACATTCCATTTTTCTCTTTAAACAACCCAGATAGTTGATCTACCATCACCAAACTGTCTGATTACTGACTTTTGGCAAATTCTCAGCTGGTAATGACCACACTCCTTTCTACACTGAGGGCAGCACTTACATAGATATTCTGCTGCAGCCTGTGTGTGAGTTCTGCACAGATTTCTGAGAGAGTGGCTTGTGACATCCTGAAATTCTGTTGCCACTCCTGCTCCTCCCTGATTTGGGACACTGTGCTCTCCTTTCAGACAGTACTTGTTGACCACACTTTAAAGCTCCTTCAGGAAAAGGTGTGGATGTGACTGCTTGATTTCAGTTGCCTTCTTTGGTTGCTTTATCCCAGTTTTGAAGTCTCTTCCCAACTGTAGATGTTAGCAGCTGCTTGTTTGTTACAATCCACACTGTGATTAACATAATCATAACCTGTCCTGCATATTGCATGATAATGCTTTGAAAATGGCACTTAATGTCTTTGAAAACATTGTGTGATAGGGCGAAATGAGGCATCATAGCAATTTAATTTGACAGTAAACTCCAGAATTCCTTTGCCTTCCAATAAGTGTAAGTTTTCAACAAGAAAAAAAATCCCAGAGTGTGTAAGAACGCTGTAGCAGAGCAGCATACCCTGGGATGTCTGCCCACTCAGAATGCTGGCTGCGATTTCAAAATATTATAGTACTGTGGGGCTGCAATTAAGGTGCTATTGCTCCGTAAAATCACAGAATAACAATGTAATGTTTATGCATTGCTTATGCAGTGTTTATTGCAGATCACATGACACGTACACAAAATCTATGGTATCTGCATTAAGTGTAGATGTGCCATAGGTCACTTTACTCCTGAATGAGAAAATCCACCAAGGGTTTAATGTGCTTTAACGTCTATATATTTAGCTTATTTGCCTTAACTTTCTTGACCGTCTCCATTTAGACATGGCCTTGGTGTCGCTTCTTTGCCCTTCTTCAGGTTTTTAAGATTTGTTTCATCTTTATACTTTTGAGAGGTTCACCTCCTTTATGCTGTTACACTCTCTAGCTTTCTCCTGCTTCACAAAACCATAACTTTAACATTCCATCCACTTTTTGTAAAATCAAAATTACTTTTGGTACTTGTTTGGATACATATAGTAATGAATCCTGTTATTTCAAGTTAAGACAGAATTTAACCGAATCTTGCAACTTGCCGGAAGTATCTTCTGTCTATAATCCTTTGTATTTTAAAAACCATGTTGTCATATACAGTAAGAGTTCAATTTTCAAGCTACGTGCTATTTCAGCCAGTTGGTTATTTCAAAAGAATGGTTTGTCTTTTTATAATTGATAGTATGTAGTACAGTTAATACTATTTAATAAGCTTTGTATACAATATTAATGTTTTTAACACGTTTCAGAGAAGACAAAGACAGTATGTGCACTTGGCATTGATTTATAAACTGGTATTGAGTCCTCAGTGTAATTTATAATTGACTTTCATATTCTTTTAGGTAAAAAGAACATACTCCCATGGTACATATAGAGCTGGCCCAATGAGACAGATCAGCTTGGTTGGAGCAGTGGATGAGGAAGTGGGGGATTACTTTCCAGAGTTCCTTGATATGTTGGAAGATTCACCTTTCTTAAAAGTAAGGGGAGGAAGGGAAGGGGAGAGATACTTCCAAATGCTCTTATCAGTGGTTTTCAAGCTATGGTCCGTAGAGCCCTGGGCGGGGAGCTGACTGCCACACTGGGCCTCTGGGAAAGGTGGTGGTGGTTAGGGTTGCCAGGTGTCCGGTTTTGAACTGGACAGTTCAGTATTTTAGCTGTCTATTCAGGAAACAAATTGAGAATATAAATGTCTGGTATTTACTAAATTAGATGTAATGTAGATTGTGATGTAATGTCAAGTGTGTCTGGTATTTTTGTTGAAACCATCTGGCAACTCTAGCACTGGTGGTGGTGGTAACTCTGCACTTCTAGAGGCCTTTGGGGGAAGGGGCAGACTGGAGCAGCCAGCCCTCGGTGCTGCCCAGAGCATGCTGTGTGTACCTACCCTCACACCCGCCCCGCCCCCAAGCACTTAGAGCTCCCCAGAGGATGTTGTACATTGCTTCAGCAGTGATTTAAAGGGCCTGAGGCTCCAGCTACTGCTGTAGCCCCTTTAGAACTGCTGGTCCTCAGGCAGTTGCCCCTTTCTTCCCCCTCATCTGTTGGTGGGTCTGCCCCTTGGAATCTACAGACTTTGTCTAACATTTTCAAAGGAGTCTGCATCTCCATTGGACTTTTTTAGGGGTCCACAAATTTAAAAAAGGTGAAAGCCACTGCTCTGTGAAAGAATGGAAATACTTATTGTCGCAGGTCTGGCTGAGCACCTATGCTGGCTAATCAACAGGCTCCTGTGAAGGCATACAACCATTGACTCCTCAGGGTTTTTAAGCCTCAGATGTGAATAGAATGTAGTTCAGTTGTCACCAACCAGTCAGTCGTGAGGTAGTGTTCCCAGCCCCCTTCGTATCCCTTAACCCCAAAGAGGAGCCCGTGATGGCGCTACAGCCCTCCTGCAAAAATGGAGCTAGATCCAGCTTCCTGCAGAAAGGGTGGGAAGTCCCGCTGCTACGCCCCAGATATGGCTTTTCAGGAACCTCACACAGTTCCTCCCTTTCCCACAGCAGCATGCACACTTCCTTAGAAGCCGCATCTGGCACTGAGCCTCAGGACTTCCTCCTCCCCTCCCACCCCCTGTGCCACAGGCAGGAAGGAAGGCAGCACGGGGAAGAAAGGGAAGGCAAGAAAACGTGCGCACTGCTCTCCCCACAACAGCACGCACACTTCCTTGTTTTCCCTTCCTTCCCCGTGTTTGGCGCAGGCCAGAGGTGGGGGGTTTAAGATGGCAGCAGAGGATCCAGAGCAGCTGGATTTCTTAAAGGAGCAGTACATGCACTTCTTCCAGTGCTGCCTGCAGATCCTGCCCCAGAGATTCTCATCCCTGGAGACCCCCAGGAACCAGCTGAGCTGCCCCTGCCTCCTCCCCCTGGCCAGACCTCCCACCAGCACCCTGGCCCCTCTCCTACCAGCACTCTGCTCCTGTCCCCTGGCCAGACCCCCACCAGCACCCTGCTCGCTCCTGTATCCACTCTTTACCCAGATTCTGCACCCCCCCAGCCCCAGTCCCTATCCCAGTCACTGGTAGCTTTGTCCTGCTGGATCCCTCATTTTTGGCCCCACCCTAGGACCTAAGGGTGCCCACAAAATCCACTAACCCTGGAACCCAAGAAGAGTTAATCTGGCCTGAGGCCTTGAATCTCAGTCCTACCTATCCTGCCCCCCCATGGGGCTGGAGTGCCCAGAGAGTGTAGTGTCTCAGTTGAGGGCCACATCAGTGAGTCTTGGTGGGAGGGGCTTGGAGGGGTTATTTTCTGCAGAAATGTTTTGTGTTGGACATTAATATTTTATTTAAAAAATGAAGCCTGGCCAGCAGACCCCCAGTTAGGGCCAAGCCTCCATCTGACTGCAGCATCATAACACCCCTGCACACCCCAACCCTTAGCCTGTCATACACCTAAGCCCCCTGCCCTGAGCTCCCCACATCCCCCAAACTCCTGTAACACCCCCCACACACATTTCCAGTCTTGTTCCACAAAACTCCTGCACCACCCATACACTGCAAACCTGTGCCCATTCTGCACAAACTCCCTGCCTTGAGTCCCTCATATACCTACACCCAACTCAAACTCCTGTACCCCCACATCTACAAGCCTGAAGCTTGCTCAATACCCCAACTCTCCACCTGACCCCAACATTCTCCAGCCTGGAGCCCCCTCCATGAGCCAGCATCCCCTTCTCCAGCTCCTCCTGCACCCAAATTTCCTCCCAGAGTTTGCACCTCTCACTCCTTCCCATACCTAAATCCCTCATTCCTACTCCAGAGCTTTCACCTCCTGTCTCAACCCAGTGAGAGTGAGTAAGGGCTGTGGCCAGCAAGTGATGGAGAGGATGGGACCTCAAGGAAGGGGTGAGGTCTTGGGGAAGGGAGGGAGCAGATCTTGGCTTATCCTGATATTTAAAAAGTGATCTTGGGTATAAAAAGGTTTGAGACCACTGGTCTAGTTGCTTGCTCACCTTGGCAAATACTCGGAGTGCAGATCTCTCTAGCAGCCACTCCTGAGAAATTTGACCATGTGGTCCACAAACCAGTCCCTGGAAGCAGCGCTGGCTCCTAGGCTTCCTCAAAGCTTAAACATACCCTTTCTGTGAACTCTACCTAAAAGCTCATCTCTTCAAGGAGGCACATGCTTAATACACACAAAAGTTTGAACAAGAGTCTGAATTCTTTCTTTAACACCAAGAAATATATACATCTGTAGAAAAATATCAAACGTGTTCCTTGCATCAGTTGCCTGCCCCATCCAGAGCATTCATAGGGCAAGGGTCAGGGTTGTCTGGGGCCATTCAGAGTCCTTCTCTTTGCAGTGCATAGCCTGGGTACTGTGGGTCTCACTTAGTCTTCCCCTTGTGAATTCTTTTTTAATCTTTCAGTCCCTTAATCAGATGACTTCTGGATCAGCCTCAATAGGGGATCACGGACCTCTCTGCCAAGTGATTTCATTGCCATGCATTCTGTTTGCTGAGAAACCAGTTCATTTAAGTGGAAGCCAGTTCTTTAGCTAGCATTTTTATTTTCTAATAAAGGGCCATTTTGAGTTAATGACCCTCTATTGTGAATCCTGTGCCGCTACCCACTGGAATTTCAGTCTAACGCTGAGGTAGAGTGGCAACAGAGAAGAAGGTTAGCCCCTGTATTCAGAGTGGAGTTTTCCTCTTGACAAAATAGATACGGGGAGTTTGTAATCCCCTGAATTGTTCAGAAATCATAAATTGTAGATTGTTTCCTCAAATCATCACACTTGCCTATATTCACTTATTTACCAGATCTGTTAATTTAAGCTTTTTTCATTTTTCCAAATAACTATTTTTAATGTATTTGAAAATAACTAAAATAAATATGTGGATTGTTATATTTCCCATTAGTGTACATTGCCATGGGGGACGCTTTCTAGTCTAAAATTAGAAAGTCGTAAAGATAGTGATGATGGTCCCATCATGTGGGTACGTCCAGGAGAACAGATGATCCCTGTGGCTGACATGCCAAAGTCACCTTTCAAAAGGAAAAGGTATGTTGAAATTCTTAGCTTGGTGAGTTATCTGATTATTTGTTTTAACATTTCCCTTATTCCACTCATCCCAATGGCTGCATAAAATTTATGCTATATATAGATGTTTATGTAACTTTTTACCTCAAAAGAAGAAATAAAATCACTACTTAGTTTTTAAGTTCTTCAAGGAAGATAATGTATTTTTTGGAAATATTGGTATGTCACATAGCATAATGATGTACCAATCTTGATTGGAGCCTCTGGGCTTCTGTAATGAAATACTAAAATAGTAATTTTATAAACCAGACCATCTTTTCTTCACTCTCCCTAAAATATCTCTACTTGGAGATGAGAGAGCAGCATAAAACAAATAGAAATGTGTTTGGGGAAAAAAAGTGAAGACTGCTATATCCATATGAATACTATAAGGGAAATTTTAAGTGTGCACACATGGTTACTCAATACAAGTATCCTGGCTTAATTCAAATTTTAACTCCCTATCTTAAGTGCCTTTGGACCTTGAAGTGCCACTGAACTTATAAAAATTACAAGTGACAAAGATTTCTGTCCCGCCTGAAAGGTGGGACTTCTAACCGTACAAAATCTCCATAACATCATACTGGGGTACTGGCTTAGGTAATGACTCAGAACGACGCCATTCTCAGAATCAAACATTAACTTATTTTAGCATATAGATTTTCCTTGTGGATTTCCTATCCAAATACTTTCCAGGAAAGATCCCTTGTTTGGTATATTTCAGATATCCAACTGATGTGATATGGTCTCTCACTATCAGCATTAAATTAGCCATTTAACCAATAAGAATGATCACAGAGGATCTTTCATCTAAGTGGTATTTTCTCCTTTTTACTTCTAACATCTCTGACAAGTAGTCTTGAAAATCTTTTCCTACCCAGTGTTGAAATGTGGAACAGAACGGTAATACACAACACTCAGATTGTTCAGTAGAAATGTAAGCAAATTAGTTTGAATGCATACATGATTACTTTCAGCATTTCATAAATGTTGCCTACATTTTTTTGTGCTGCTAATTATCCTGTAATCTGGGCGAGATAGTATTCTGATGTATGTGCAGTGCATGCTGTTGGAAGAAATGGATCGTGTTGAATGTAGAAAACTATAAACTTGAGAAGGGGAGTTCTAGATTTTTAGTTTTGTTTGTTTTGTTTTGTTTTTAAACAGAACTACCAATGAAATAAAAAACCTACAATACCTACCTCGAACTAGTGAGCCCCGTGAAATGCTATTTGAAGACAGGACACGAGCCCATGCAGATCACATAGGACAAGGTTTTGAACGACAGACCACAGCTGCTGTAGGAGTGTTAAAGGCTGTGCACTGTGGAGATTGGTATGTGTCAACTGTTTTAGTTTTGTTAGACCGTTGAAAAATACTTGTTTGAATTTCCATTTATAGCTGCTAGAAGGATCATCAGCTAATAAATAAATCCAATTACTAGTATGTTTTGGAAATAAGCCATAACTAATGAATAAACTATATATTTTCTTGATGAACTAGGTATGCTGGGTAAATTCTAAATACAACTTTGCAGGCTGGTAGAAACTAGAAAGAGCCCTTCCTTGTCTCAGTAGCAGCTTCCTAAAAACAGTTGTGTAAATTATTACACTCAAACTTGTCTGTACTTTTTTTCTTTGTGTGTGAACCAGTACTGATATGGCTTGCCTATGGCTTTTATCTGAGCTGCATATAGAGTCTTTCTGGGAACCTTTGGCTCTTTCTTTTTATATAAACAAATACCATAATTCTGGTCCAAGAAATGGTGTTTTGTTTTAAGCATGGTGGAATTTGCATGGCATTTCTTTAGTGTCCTAATCAGTCTGAAACTCTCATGTGATATACAGGGGGATCAGCCGTGGTCAGCAGAAGCCATTTTTTGCTTGTTTACTGGGAAAACCAGAGTGCATTTTAGCTGGGTACTCTCATTGAGCTGGAAAATTGATAATTTGGGGAATTTTTTGTCCTCTTAACTTCTGTCCCTAAAGCTATGTCTACACTGCACGCTTATTTCGAAATAACTCATGTTACTTGGAAATAACAGAGTGCGCATCTATGCAGCAAGCAAGTATAACTTCAAAATAAGCAAGTATAATTTTGAGATAACGGGCTTCTTACTCTGACTTCTGTAACCCACATTTTGAAGAGTAAGGGAAGTCAAAGGAAAAGTGTTCTTCCTTCAACTTCCTGCTTCGGGCTTATTGGTAAACAGTGCATAAAGTAGAATAAAAGTACTTAGACTTCAGCTACACAATTAATGTAGCTGAAGTTGTGTGTCTTAACTCACCTTTATCCCACAGTGTAGGCATACCCTAAGTGTCTTAACTCAACTTTAGCCCACAGTGTAGGCATACCCTAGGACTGGCATGTGGTGCTGTAGGACGTTGCCTTCCATAAGTGTTGGAACTAAGGATTCAGGGGGACGTCAAGTGGTTTCCAAAGGCTCTTAGCATCCCAACTATAAAAATTGTTCCAGCACTCCTGCTTAGTTATTGAGAACACCCACACTTTTTATAGTTTGACTGGCATAGTTACTAAGACCAGAATTCTGATACTGCGTTAGAGGTTTATTTCCTCTTCGGGTGAAATAGTGAAAATTTGTGTAACTGTACATGAAACAGAACTTGGCTGTAGGATTGTAATAAAGAAATTCCCCATGGGAGAGAACTGGGCCATTCAAATGTGAATTTTTTTTTAAGCGTCAAGGCATGTAGTTAAGACTGCATGCAAATTCAGGACAGTTTTAACATTTGACTTGGAAATGTTGGCACAGTTCTATTAAATCAGTCATGGTTGTGGTGGTAGAAACTGGCATTTAATGAACTTGGATTTCTGTTTTCACTTATAGTAAACTCTTTTACATCAGGTAGAATATGGATATTTTCATATTCAAAGTTAAATGCAGAAATTTTTCATTCTTAGTTGCACAAACAGTTATTGATCACTTCATAAACTCTGAATATTGTTCTGTACATATTGCCAAAGACAAACAGATCAAGAATTACATTGATCCATTATTTATTCTATGGTCAGTCCTGGACCAGTTCCAAAAGAGCACTGTTTGCATCAGGGACCTGTGATGATTGTTAGATGAAATAGTTTCTGCACAATGAGGACTGATCATACACTGTTGAAGAGATTGGACTCTCTACTTTGTTAGTATAAATCTTAGATTTATAATCTTAGGAAGGCATGAGATTAGACCATGAAATGTCTAACCATTTTAATGGTAGATAGTTATCTGCCAGAGCTGGAAACCAATTTTTATACTGTTCGAACATTTTTAATATCAATGTTAGTTTCCTGATATATGCAGTAGCCAACTTTGAGGTGGTTGTTGATGATCAGGTGTCACAGCTGAAGTGAAACGCCTAGAAATAAGTGATTTTTATAGTATGGCATCTCGTAGGCTGTGAAGTCTTAGGAACACTTTAGAATGACAGTAATTTTTAATAAGAGTTGTTGGCCAGCTTCAATCATTCAAAAACTGCAATTGATGCAGAATTCAGCAGTTCCCTTTATATTAAGCATTGTTTCTTTCCTTGAGTACAGGCAGTCCCCGGGTTATGCGGATCCGACTTAAGTCAGAGCCATACTTACGAACGGGGCTTTTCTCGCCCCGGAGGACGCGGGCGGCGGGACCACCCAGACGCGCCGAGGTCCTGCCGCCCGTGTACTCCGGGGCGAGAAAAGCTGCTCCGCGTCTCCCTGGTCTGCTGGGGGGAGGGCTCCAGCACAC